CCAAAGATAATGACAGTTCCCATTTATAAAAAGATTTTATGTATTATTAATGTAACAGCTTCAATTATTTTACTGTTACCTAGATTTACAGAAAAAAATACTTGTTTCCAGGAGGAAAATTATTGCATTTAGCACAGTTGTAATACCTATAATAAACACATATTAGTTACTACAAAATTTACTATGAAAAAAGCAGGCACATGCTATTTTTGAAATACACAAAACTATATATTGAATGGCAGTCCTAATTTAAAAAAAAATCAAAAATAAATTCAAAGGCATTTCCTTCATATAGAAAAGCAAAAATAAATAAATTTAAAACAATATCATAAATCAAGACAGGGTATCTCTATACACTTTACCTTGGGGGTGTACACAGCAAAAGGATTCAGAGAAGATCCAGTAGATCTTTTCTTCTTAGGTATTATTATAGGTGGAAGAGTTATTTGAGGTTTCTAAAAGGAAGGGTAAGACAGATATTCACTGCCATGCTTGGTTTACCACGTAACAGATTTAAATTAAAGTGCATTTCTTTGCTCACTGAAACCCAATAAGCATTTTTCCTTCCCTGCCCCCCCCCCCGCAGGATCTATGTTCATACACTGTGGTTACTATAGCAACAATACTACAGAAATCACTAGAAAACCTGATACTGAATCCACCCCTCACCAATTCTTTTCTTTTTAAAATTTAACACAGTCTTTCACTTATCCTTCCAGAATATTACATTTTAAAACAATCAAGATACATATGACTACATAGTGTTGATGCTAGATTATTTTGATCTATGGCCATTTAGAAAGAAATACACTTCTAAATAAGCACTTAGAATTTATGAGAAATGGCCAAATTTCAAATTCACAGTGTAGGTGAGCCTATTTGAGTTCTATCAGGAATAGGATACTAACTCTTTCTTCACTCCCACTCAGAATTAAAGACCACGATCTCATGCCTGATTGTGTAGACTGACAGGCTTCAATCTATTTAGGGAACATATGCTATAGCAACTGAACACAAGCAGTGAGCATTCACAGAACTGACTCCTGGGTGTATTCTTACTACTTCCAACATACACCCACACAGCCCCATCTACATAATCACATAGCTGTAACAGCTAGAAACTACTCACCTAAAATGGTGAGAAGAAACTAACTGGAAGATTTTATTTTTGTTTTTATTTTTGTGGGATGTTTCTTTTGGTGGTACTGTCCTTGCATTTTTTAAATTCTAGCAAAAGTCTATTCCATACAACTTCTGAATTATTTCTAGAACCTATGTTCCCTGCACATTTTATAACTCCCAGAGAATCACTTACCTCAGTGTTCAGATCTTGTAGAATGTCACCTAGCAGTTCATCCTTAGACAAATC